GAGTGGAGAGAAAGGAGCTGTGAGGAGAGACAGGGCAGAGATCAATTTAATCCAGAAATACAGTTTCCTTTGGATGGCAGTGAGGCAGCCTCCCTTGACTGCAAATAAACCTTGGTCTTTTTGCAACCGATCTGTGAAAATCTGCCTTTCTCGCCAAAGGGAGATCTGCTGCAGAACTACTGTCGCACGTTGTTATTTCTCTGTGTGTGCAGCATGCGGGAAATGTGACGTTCTCTGATAAATTCCTTGTAACTGTGTAGGCGAGGGGATCTAAAAATAAAGAGGGAATATCTATCATTAAGGTATCATTGCGCCATTCCTGCTATTTGAAGTCTAACATATTCCCTGAGCCTTCTGCTTTTTAAGCCTCCTTTCGGCATTTTGGGTGGGTATTTGCAGAAACTCACAGCAGAGGCTCCCGAGCCAGACCTCAGTGCGATTGTGAGGATGAGCTAGCTAATTATGGCAACATTAAAAAAAGGAAAGCCAACCACTCTAGTGGGCTCCTTGTTTTTCTCAGGTCACTGATGGAGCTATGAATAGGAATTGTCTTAATAACTGCTGTGACCCCACCCCCACCCCAGTGGATTAGGTGATACCTCTTTTTCTCACACAAATATTGAGGTCCGAAAGATTATTTGAGCTATTTTTCACACATACCCCTTCACCTTGAATTAGAAAAAGTACTGCAAATATATATACATTTTTATATTGAAGGAGAAAATGAAAACTGAAACTTAACCCAAGTGCACTGTGAGCATTGGTAAGACAGAAATATTAAAGTAAAAATTACTCCCAAGGTTGATCATTGAATGAGATCCCATATAGTCCAGTAGTTAAGAATTTGATTTTCTTTTTAAATATCCTTTGTAAATTGTGGGGAGGAGAATGAAGGTTTTATATATATATATATATATACACACACACATACATATATATGTGTATGTATGTATATATGTATGTATATATATGTGTATGTATATACATACACACATATACATATGTGCATATATACACGCGTATGTATGTATGTGTACATATGTATGTACTTATACCTATACTTAAACATATACGTGTATATATATACATAATTGCTTTAAAAAACCTCGTTGCTGTACTGCTAAGGCTGCGTGCGTGTGTCTGTCCGTGGTGCTGAAACTGGCTCTTCGAGGGATCCACATCACATGACTCTCCTCTTGGCTGGATCCAAAGCTCTAGAATCTATCAGATTTTCCAGCCGACTGGAAAGCCTAAGGCAAATTCTCTATCGAACGTGGCTCTGCGGAAGAAATGCTTTGGCTGGGAATATCACATCTGGATTCAGGAAGCCGAGGCAAAGCATTATATCCTGGATTGTAAATATTGGGCTAAGAGAGAAGAAGAAAAGGAGAGAGAAAGAAAGGAGAGAGACAGAGAGACAGAGAGACAGAGAGAGACAGAGAGAGACAGAGAGAAAGAGAGAGAGAGAGAGAGAGAGAGAGAGAGAGAGAGAGAGAGA